TGTAAAATGATTATAATAAGAAATATTTTATTTTTATATATACATCCATAGAAGGAAATGGTTCTTTTTTTATAAAAAATAATAGTTTCAACAAGAAGAGTGAGTAGATGGATGAGAGAGGGATAGAGAGATAGAGAGAGAGAGGGAGTAAGAGGATGAAAAAACACACATGCACATGCACACATGCACACATGCACACACACATGCACACATGTGTCTGACATTGGTTCTATGAATAATCGAAAGTAGAAGAAAACTTCATTTCTCTTTTAATATATATATATATAAGAAAGTTTATTTGTAGAATGACTAAATGATAATGAATTCATTGCTCTACTATATATGCTTGAATGATTCACAACAATGAAAGTAACAAACTATTATATGGAAACTATAATATATATTATTTTTTAATATAAAATTTTATTCTTTTCTCACAAGAAATAGCTGATCATATTGAAATATTTGGATGGAATAATAGATAATGAAGGATGTCTTGTGAATCAATACCTTAGTTAGATGAGGAAAGAAGAGAAGAGACGAAAGAGTTATTGGCAAAACGAGAAAGAGAAGCATTAGAATGAGATGCTGAAAGCAAAAGAACATGAGGAAAATGTAAAAGAAAAAAAAAGGAAAGAAAAATGCACATGACAGAGATCATGTCCATATAAAGGAAGAGAGGGAAAGAAGAGAAAGAGAGAGAGGGAATGAGAGAGAGGGAGAAAATGAGTTGAAGAGATGCTAAAAAAAGGAAATGCATTGTATAAGAGGGAACAAAGAAGCAGAATGAGCTGATAGAAGAACCTTTCTCCTGGTATGTGTTCGTTTTTTTTCTCTCTCTCTCTCTCTCTACTCACATATGCTCTCTCCATCTCTCTCTCCTTAAAAAAAAAAAGAAAAAAAGATAAACAGAAAATACAAATGGAAATGTGATAGTATGAGCTTGAAGCTTATTACATTTAAATATATTTTATATAAATAAACATATTTAGTCAAAGCGACCGCAGTCACTTGCCTTCATTGACTGATTAATTATGGATTATAACCATTTTTAATTTTCTCTTCTTTCCTCTCTTCTACGACCAAATGTGTTTTCTTCACCAATAGCTTTCACAATTCATTTTCACTCTCTCTCTCTCTATCTCTCTCTGAAACTTAACTTCTCGTTTATTCATTCATTCCTTCTTCGGTCTACTTTCTAACAAAAGCACATCAAACTATCATTTCCTTCTATTGCTTTGAATCATATTTCTATACAATTAGCTTTTGCCTTCTATTCTCCTTTCTTTTTTTTTCGAATATCAATTTTAGCTTATGAAAAAGATAATGAAATATTCATTTTGCATGTTTCACTTGCAGCCTGTTCACAGAAGTGAACGACCGCTCCACTCTCATCTTCAAATGCAAAATGAATCTTATTCATTCTTTTTTTCTATTTCTTTTTTTTTCATTCTCAATGATTACCTACAGTTAGCGGCTGTGCATACTAATAAGCATTGTTTCTTTCTTCTTTAATTTATTCTTCAAAGAGAAATTTGGAAAAACAATCAAGAAAATTCTGAGAATTATCTTCAAAGCTGATCTAGTGAATGCTTTAACCTAACTACTTCTCTTAGATATACTGTTAGAATTCATTCAAATGACTAATTATCCATTAAAAAAAAGAAGTTTACTGATTACTCGCCAGTCTGTTTACACTGCAAGTACGAATGACGTGATGAAAGATAATTTGTCTCAAACATAAACTGTTACATAACTACTTTGATGTCTCCAAATGTTACTATTGCTATCTGGTCATCCCTCACAGATTAACATATAAAACAGCTTTCGCAGGATAAGTTCTACGAGATACTGAAAGATACATCATTCGAGATTCTTTGCTCATTCATATTCTTAAGAATCAAAACTCAAATTGCAAAAGAGATTTTCATTTTGTGTTTTCAATCAGATGATTGTCCCGCTTTTAAGATAATGATTCATATTTCAATAAAATTGATAATATTCAACTTATCTCTATCATAACAGGAAGTTACTGTGTTTTCAGCTGAGACAGCTTGATATGCAAACTGTCTGCTCTCCGATCAACAGTCATGCAACGATAGTGATGGAGATAGACTATAAGGACACAATCTCAGAGCTAATACCTCTAGAAGGTTCTAATTTTCAAGAATAAACATTTAATTAGTATATCTTATGATTTCAATTGATATTCTACTAGAACTTTGCTCATTGAAATGAAAACACTCGAATATTAATTTAAAAATAACAATAAAGTGCTTAATTACCATGTTAGGCTATTGAATTTGGACATTTGGA